GGTTCTGTTGATTATGAGGCAGCATTGTCCTCATTTGCCTCTTTCACTTGACTCATCATATCTGCTTTTCCATTTGTCATGTTAATGACTTCACCAAGAACAAGTAAAGATTATCCATATTGATCTTCCTCAGTATTCTTCTCAAATGATGGATGGGATTCATCAAAAATAATATGGACACTTTCTTCAACACATTGAGTTCTCTTGTTATATATCTTGTAAGCCTTACTTTGAGAAGAGTAGCCAAGAAATATCCCTTCGTCACTTTTGGCATCGAACTTACCAAGCTGATCGTTTCCATTATTGAGAACATAAAATTTGCATCCAAATGTTCTTAGGTAAGTCAGCTTGGGTTTTCTTCCATTCAGCAACTCATACGGGGTTTTGTTCAGAATTGATCTGATCATGCACTTGTTCACTAAGTAGCAGGCAGTGTTGACAACTTCAGCCCAAAAGTTCTTAGCAAGTCCACTGTCAATCAGCATTGTTCTTGCCATTTCTTCTAGAGTTATGTTCTTTCTTTCTACTACTCCATTTTGCTGTGAAGTTCTGAGAGCTGAAAAGTTGTAAGAGATGCCATTTTTATTGCAGAAATCATCAAATTTGACATTGTCAAATTCTGTCCCATGATCTGATCTAATGCACACAACTCTAGACTTCATTTTCACCTGGATTTGCTTCACAAAGGCCACAAATACTTCAACCGTTTCATCTTTTGTTTTGAGAAATAGAGTCCATGTGAATCTGGAATAGTCATCCACGATCACGAAAATATATCTCTTTCCTCCTCTGCTTTGCACCCTCATATGTCCACACGGATCCATATGCAGGAGCTCAAGCGGTTTTGAGGTGCCCACATCTCTTTTTGACTGAAAGGAGGACTTTACATGTTTTCCTCTGGCACATGCATCACAGACCTTTTGAGTTTTGAATTGTGACATAGGCAAACCATGGACAAGGTCCTTCTGAATTAGTTTGTTCAGAAGGGAGAAGCTTTCATGGCCCAGTCTTCTTTGCCATAGTTCAGCATTATCATCAACAGCCTTCAGACAACTCAGATCACCACTTTGTAAGGATTCGAAATCAACAACATAGATGTTCTTGTATCTTTTGGCCACCAAGACTATTTCACCAGTCACAAGGTCAGTGACTGTACATATTTTGGACAAGAACTCCACTTTGTTTCCCTTATCGCAAATTTGAGAGACATTCAGGAGACTTTACTTAAGTCTATTGACATAGTACACATTTTCAATAGAGTGAGTGAGTGACTTCTCAACTTTTCCAACTCCAAGAATGTACCCCTTTTTGCCATTGCCAAAGGATACACTCCCTCCTTGCAGAGCTTTTAGTGAAAGAAAGTTTGTGGTGTTCCCAATCATGTGTTTCGAACATCCACTATCCATGAACCATTGTTGACCACTTCCATTCACTGTTCCCTACACAAGAAATTAGGAGTTAGTTTTAGGAACCCAAACAAGTTTGGGTCCCTTGTAGTAACCAAGAGGATGAATAAGAGCTCTCTTAGTCCAAGCAGGTAATATGTGTTTTCTATGAGTGGAATCTGGTCCTTCTTTTGTGATCACAGTTTCAGCAGCCACTTTATCTTTTGGGACTGATTGATTCTTAGCCGGGAAACCTTCCTTGGAGTGCCCAGTGTTCCCATATTGGGTACGAGGCCAGTTGTCAGATGCAGTGTCGCTCTTACTGTAAAGGTTGTAAGGATCTTTCTTCCTTGGAAACCCTGCTCTCCGCCCTTTTTCACTATTATTAGTGAGCAAGGTAGTGGTGGCCTCTACGGACCAGGTCTACTTTAGAGACTTTTCAAGATCATTCATTACTTTTTCTAGATTGGCTTGGATGAGCTCGTTTTTCTTAATTTCAGCACTCATCCTACATCTCAAGGCCTTCACCTCATCTTCAAGCCTAGAATATTCCTCACTTACTATATCCTATCCTCTTTCAGAGTTTTCAGGTTTTGACTCAGTCAAGGGCTTTGCTATTAGTTCCCTGTGATCAACAGTTTCTGCTAAGAGATCAGTCTTTTATTTTCAAAGAATTTCAATGGCCTTCTTTTGATCAGTGATTGCAGCCACTAAATCTTTTTTAATATGTTCAGATTCTTCTAGTTCTAAGAACAAGGAATCCCTATCCTCCGCAAGACTACAAAAGGCAGTAATTAAAACATCAGCTAAACACATGAGTTTTTTTGGAGAATAGGATTTCAGATTTTTCTGAACATCTCTAAAGTTTACCTCTTCATTGTCATTGTCTTCGTCATTGGCTGATTGAGCCATCAAAGCAAGTGTTGAGTCATATCCAATCTCCTCGCCTTCAACTGCCATCGTAGAACTATCATCAGTATTAGATTTATCTTGCTTTACTTGTGTAGTTCCCTAATAGGCTATTTGCAAAGTCTCCCATATTTCCTTGGCAGTATCGCATGTAGATACTCTATCATACTCTTTAGATTCCAAACCATATACCAGAATTTTCTTGGCACGAAAATTCTTCTCCATTGCTTTCTTGTCTGTTTCAGTGTATTCTCCACTGTTTTTTTTATTGAAAATGGAAATTCATTTAGTACCTTGATTGGAACAAACGAACCATCGCAGATAACATCCCAAAGCTTGCAATCCTCAGCCATGATGAAATCATGCATTCTAGCTTTCCACCACCAATAGCATTTTCCATCAAACTTCGGTGGGTGGTATATGGATTGACCTTCTTCAAGATTTAGTGGAGCCGTCATGAGGATCCTTCCTAGGTGTTAACCTGATAGGAGAAACCTACTCTGATACCAATTGTTAGCTTATATGGGTCCTCCAAATCGTAGAGCACCTGGTCCTCTACAAGTTTCTGCTGAGTGCACTTAGTAAAGCAGTAAGTAAATGAGGCAGAGGATTTTTACGTGGAAAAATCCCGCATAAGGGGATCAAAAAACCATGACCTACACATGTAGGCTTTTAACTTTACTAGCTTGTAATCTTACCTATTACAAGCCACTTTACAATACTTTCTATTGCAAAGGATTTACTCAACTAACTTGTGGTACCTTTACCACAAGCCACTTTGTGATTATCCTAGTTACAAAGGCTTTTTCTAACTTGTGGTGCTATCACCACAAGCTACTTTGAAATTCTGCAATTACAAAGACTTTTCTTTGTGACTAAATCTAGTCACAACCTAAACTAAGCGAGTTTAAGGATTTACAAGAGGATTCCTAATTAATATACTTCTAAGTAAGCGATTTAGGAGATATAGTAAGTACAATAACAAGGTTACAACTCAATTAGGACAACAACAATCAATCTTTTAGGAACTGGTCCGTAGTGGCGTTCAACCTTGTTCTTCAAGCTTGAGAGGATGATTTTTCTGTTTTTGCAAAAGGCTTGAAATGAGAAACAGAAACCTTCCAGTGATGTCTTTATATAAGGCTTCATCGGGTACATCTTGATCACATCACTTGAAGTGATGTGAGTGCTTTGTTTGGTTAGAGAATGAGTGGGCTGATAGTATATTGCAGTGCGGCAGAAACAATGTCGTCAGTCACTTCAGTTCTAGCTGTGTCCAAATGACTCTATACTGCTACATAGGAACCACAGGAGCATCAGGTCCTTGTTTGGTTCCTAGCTCCTGAATCTGTAGCAGTTCATCCTTAGCTGGGATCCGTTCCAGTTTGCAGCAATCCAAGTAGGTCAGGTTCCCTATCTGGTTCTTATCAGTAAGTTTGTTAGATCATCAAAACATAAGGTAAGAGTATTTAAGATCTATCAACATAGTTCTGATTGATGAGACACGGGGTGATGTTAATGAGATGCTGGAGGTTTGGAGGTAGACCTTGGGGTCTAAGGGTTTCAAGTTGAGTAGGACCAAAACAGAATACTTGGAGTGCAAGTTTAACAACGTTACATAGGAAGCGGACATGGAGCTGAAGCTTGATACACAAGTTATCCCCAAGAGAGGTAGTTTCAAGTACCTTGGATCTATAATACAAGGTAAGGGGAGATTGGGGAGGATGTCACGTACCGTATCAGAGTTGGTTGGACAAAGTGGAGGCTTACTTCCGGTGTCTTATGTGATAAAAAATGTGACGCTCAGACTTAAAGGTAGGTTCTACAAAGTTGTAGTTAGATCGACTATGTTGTATGGTAGAGTGTTGGCCGGTCAAGAACACTCGTGTCCAGAAGATAAAAATAGCTAAGAAGAGGATGTCAAGGTGGATGCGTGGGCATACCGAATTGGATAAGATTAAGAATGAAGTTATTTGGGATAAGGTAGGAGTGACTTTTGTGGAGGAAAAGATGCGGGAGGCTAGGTTAAGATGGTTCGGGCATGTTAAGAGGAGAAGTATAGAAGCCCAGTCAGAAGGTGCGAAAGGTTAGCCTTAGTGGGTATTAGGAGGAATAGAGGTAGGCTTAAGAAGTCTTGGGGCGAGGTTATTAGGCGGGACATGGCGCAGTTGGAGTTGATTGAGGACATGACCCTAGATAGGAGGGTGTAGAGGTTGACGATTAGGGTAGAAGACTAGTTGGTAGTCGAGTGTATCTCTTTGTCGTTCCTAGTTCACTAGCATTAATGTTAGTATGATATCCTTTTATTCATAGATTGCTATTATTACCTAGATTTTAACTGCTTTCTTGGCTTTAATATTTTTATCTTGTTGTCATTACTTTTTTCATTCGTTCTCCGGCCGAGAGTCTATCGGAAACAACCTTTCTGTCCTTCTAGGGTAGGGGTAAGGCTGCGTACATCTCACCCTCTCCACACCTCACTTGTAGGAAAATACTGGGCTTGTTGTTGTTATTGTTATTGTTATTGTATACTTTAAAATTTTAATGCGAGAGTACAATAACAACAACCCAGTAAAATCCCATATAACCCAGTAAAATCCCACAAATAAGGTATGTGAAGGGTAGAATGTAGAGAAGTTGGTTCGATACACCCTTTGCACGAAAATACTTATATAGGCCAACTCCTCTTGACGGTTATTTCCACACTTCCTTTCCCTTCCCCTTTCCCTCTTCTTGTTTTCTCCGCTCTCTTCTTCTTCCCCCCTCCTTTATATATCCTTCACTCCCTCTGTAATTCAATCACATTCATATTCATATCCATCAATTTTTCCTTAATAAATCTTTCCCCCAAACATGGCTACCTCTTTTTCTGCTACAAAACTCTTACAACCTTTGCCTCCTCTAAACTCCAGTGCCAGATCCACTGATAAGAATACCCTTATGAGTAATCAGTTTAAAGACAGCTCCTTTTTTCTTGGATCAACCCATAAACTCTCTTTAAAAAAACCCTTTTTGCCTCCTCACTCACAACGTCGATCCAAACCTGTTTTTGCTGTTTCCGAGGTTGTAAAAGACAAGAAGCTCAAAAATGATTCCTCCCTCTCCAATCTGGTACTTGCATTTTCCTTATTCTTATCGTAATTTATGTTTTTCTTGTCTTATGAGCTCATTTTTTTCTATTGGGTCATGCTTGCTTGGATCATTGGGTGTTTTGAAGTGGTTTTTCTGTTGATTTAGTGCTTATTTTTCATTGAATTTGTTGTATGATTGAAGGTGTTTGATCGGACACGGAGTTTAGAAAGAAGGCTTTTGAAATTTGGAGTCTAAAACATGCGGTGGAATTTCTGTGGCTACAAAATATCAAAGTTTAAAGTTAAATTGTTTATAAATCATCTCCAGCCTGTTACTTGCATTTTCCTAATTTTTAACAAACTTGATGTTAATTTTTGCTGTTATAAGCTCATTTTTTTCAGTTGTGTCATGCTTGCTTAAATCGCTGTTGTGTTTTGAGTAATTATATTTGTGTAGAATTTCAGGTATTTGTAACTAAGACATCATATCTTTGTAGGATTCTCATAGTATAAGGGGGGTAAGTGTTTGATTTTAAAATACATGGGTATGGCTGCAACTGAGTCATATTACAAGGGTGTTATATGATATCATTCTTTTCGGCAGAGACTAAAACGTAATGTGAGTCACATGAATTGTGACAGAGGGAGTATCATTTAAATTGTGTGAGTTCGGATGGGTTTATTAACTTTTTGAGAAAAAAAAATTACATAGTATGAAACTACATAAAGTAATAACTTTCACATTAATTTAAATATTTTCCAATAAATTGTAGTCAATGAGGTATGGAGTACGGGAGTGGAAGCATATACTCTGAACGTGAATTTTGATGTTGGTTTATAATGTCTTGAAACGGAATTTACATTGTTCGAAACTACATAAACTAATATATGTCAAAGGTTTATGTAATATAAAATATTTAAACTTGTTCCAAACAATTGTAGTCAAGAAAAGTTGTGATAAGCTCTACAAAATGTAATAGTATCATATACAATGGGACTAAGGGGGTAGTTTTCTTTTTCTTTTTTGTGTGAATTCACTTCACTGAAAGTGTTTCAAGCTTTTATAAGTTATAAATTTTAACTCAATTTTATGTGTGTGTTGTCCCATCTAGTTAATTACCAAAGAGGAAGGATTGGAGTTGTACGAGGACATGGTTCTTGGAAGAGCCTTTGAGGACATGTGTGCCCAAATGTATTACAGGGGAAAAATGTTTGGTTTTGTGCATTTGTACAATGGCCAAGAAGCAGTCTCCACTGGCTTCATTAAGCTATTGAAGAAAGAGGACTCAGTGGTTAGCACTTATCGTGATCACGTCCACGCGTTGAGCAAAGGGGTTCCGGCACGTCAAGTGATGAGCGAGCTCTTTGGGAAGACCACTGGCTGTTGCAGAGGCCAAGGTGGTTCCATGCACATGTTCTCGAAAGAACACAACGTTCTAGGCGGTTTCGCTTTCATTGGTGAGGGTATCCCTGTGGCGACAGGTGCTGCCTTCACTAGCAAGTATAAAAGGGAGGTACTGAAAGAGGCAGACTGTGATCACGTAACTATGGCCTTCTTTGGTGATGGAACTTGCAACAATGGCCAGTTCTTTGAGTGCTTGAACATGGCTGCACTATGGAAGTTGCCCATTATTTTTGTTGTTGAGAACAATTTGTGGGCAATTGGCATGTCCCACTTGAGGGCAACTTCTGATCCTGAAATTTGGAAGAAAGGTCCTGCCTTCGGGATGCCTGGGGTTCACGTTGATGGCATGGATGTGTTGAAGGTGAGGGAGGTAGCAAAGGAAGCTGTTGCACGAGCTAGGAGAGGCGACGGTCCCACTCTTGTTGAGTGTGAGACCTACCGGTTTAGAGGACACTCTTTGGCTGATCCAGATGAGCTTCGTGACCCTGGTGAGCGTTCTAATCCTCTTCTTCTGTATAGTTGTTTAACTCTGTCCAGTTTTGCTTATTTTCCTTTTCCCTAATCCACTCAGCTTTGTGTCTAATTTTTACTGCTGCTACTGGAGTTAGTAAAACCAGAGTCTGGCTTTAGCATACGTTTTCAAATTGTTGAATGTATTAACTGTTGCATGCTATTTATATGCTATTATTCTATTACATAAAACTCAGGTAGCTTTTCTGAAGACTGGTGAAATGTGGTTTCGCTACACTTTGACCCTTTTTTTGTGGTGGTGTGCTCTTCAACTACTATACTAGCTTGAGCTTTCTTAGCATATCAGTATATGTCAAATAATATTTGAGAACTTCATATTTCATCACGAGAAATGCTTTTCATTGATGAATTGTCACAGAAGTACCATATCGGTCCTTGTCTGTGGAAGTGCATTGGGTTGTTACAACAAATGTACACATAGATCTGTAAATAATTGAAATAGTCGAAAATTTAATTGAATTGTTGGGTAGTACAAAAATGAACCTGTTTGAACTTTACCGGGCGTCAATGTGCTTATAAGGTGACGGAATGCAGAATCTTTTGAATATTACTGGCTGTAGTAAGAAACCAAAATAGTGAATAACATGATAAATGTTGATCATGTTGGAAATTGAATATTTTTTGAAAATATTGAAATAGTAATGCATAAGCAATGTGAGAAGAACCATTATGCTGCATTTTGATCATGTAGGAGATTGACAAATTTGTGTGCAATGTGAGAAGAACCATTATGCTGAATTTTGATCATGTTCGCCCTTTGATCTTTATCGCCTCCATTTAAGACAAAATAATATATGTATATACGAGTCTTTGAGGGTCACCCCTATCCTCTATATTGCGAAAGAGGTATATCCAAAATTAAATTAAACAAAAAGATACTTAAATAACTAGCCGCTGAATTCTGTTATCTTGTGCTGTTGTATGTTAGCCAATGATTTCATTTATTTGACCTTAATCTGTTTATCTTGGAAGCTGAAAAGAACCATTATGCTGCCCGAGATCCTATCAGTGCCTTGAAGAAGTATATGTTTGAGAACAACCTAGTCAATGAAGCAGAGTTGAAGGCCATTGATAAGAGGATTGATGAGCTGGTTGAAGATGCTGTTGAGTTTGCAGATGAAAGCCCTCATCCTGTTCGTAGCCAGCTGCTAGAGAACGTATTTGCCGATCCAAGGGGCTTTGGAATTGGGCCTGATGGAAGGTACAGATGTGAGGATCCCAAGTTCACTGAAGGCACTGCTCATGTCTAGGTCGCAAGGCGCTATCAGTAATTGATTATATCAGGTTTCTTTTATTTAGTGATTACTAATCGCACTTCTACATATGTCTTGGTGTCTTTCGTATTAGAAAAATTGGTACTAAGGTACTTTATTGTTTCAATTTATCTCAGGGTTTTGTCTTCGGTTTTTACTTTCATATAGTTTTCAAGTTGTACTATATCATGAACAACAAAATCTGAAAGGCCTCGCTTGCTTTTCACTTTCATTGCTTATGAATCTCTAGTTTCTTGGTGGATTGGCATGATTGTTTTCTTTGCTGGTTGAAACTTTTAATGTCAAGCCTACAGTCTAGTATAGTGGGATTTACTTCTTAAGAGTTAAGAGGGGAATTGGCTTATAAAACAACAACAACAACAACAACAACAAACCCGGTGAATTCCAACAAGTGGGGTCTGGGGAGGGTGAGATGTACGCAGCCTTACCCCTACCCTGGAGGGCGGGAATTGGCTTATAAAAAAGTGATATTTCCTTATGAGGAAGGATTATACGGGATGTTGATCCATAACTCCTATTTCCAAGGTTTTATACTTCAAATTGTTCTGCAGATCCAAAGTGCAATTAGATTTGCTTTGCGTGATCTCTTCTTAGAAAGTCCGTCAGTCTTGTTCATCGATGAGCTGATGTGATTAAAAGGGGTTCCTATAATCGCGTGTTTAAGCATAAGCTGTGGAACTTTAAGAACAATTTGGAAGCCTTCAAGTGATTGTTGTGTAACAATAGAATAACCTCTATCCTCTTGGAGATTTGTACTTACTTTCTGCAAGTGCAGAAAACATGCAGATTAACTACAAGAAGAATTAGAAAGACTTTGTGAATTATAAATGGTAACATCCATAGTAGAATTAAACTCTTTTCAAAACATGTTAAATGGTATTTTCCAATTACATAAAAAAATAAAAATGTCATTGAAGAAACTTTAATAGTCTTTACATATTTTCCCTCTAGTTTTATACCTTACCTTTTCCCGTGGCCATGGCAAAAGTCACAGTTCTAAGTAAATGTATGCTCTATATGATGTGACTGCCCTAAAAAAAATGTATCTTACATAATCATATTTATCATTTGTAGTAGAAAATAACTTTGCAAATATCACACATATTTTGTTGTACCCGCAGCTCCTCATGCTTCAGTGTCTTCTTCCATGATTAGACATAGATGAAATGGCACTCGTTGTAACCTGAGAAAATATTTATAATTATGTATATAATTATGTATATGATTAGACATAGTGTATATAATTATGTATTATCATAAAACCATGTTTATGAATTGAGTCTCACTTGGATCAACGGTAACAAGCATGGCGACGCCTCCAAATTCACAAGTTCCTCCAGCTTGTTTAGTCTTTTGCCAGTAGCTATTAAAAGCGTAAGAAGCATGAGAAAGTACAGTATTTGGCTGAAAGCACACCCCATTTTGTTCTATGGCCTCACAACCAGCCCCAGAACCACATGCATAGTCCATTGCCTGCTGAAGTAAGACTTCTGGTACTGTTGGCTTTGCTACACACCAAACAGCATTCTCTGGTTTCTTATAAGGCGGTATTGGTGCCGATGGATGAGTCATCGGTGGTGGGATAATCGCTGGTGGTTTAGGTGCATAATAGGGTGGAGTTTGTGTACTTGGAGATGTCACAGAACCTAAAGGAGGAGGAGGAGGGTATATGCAGTATGGTGGATTGTTTACTGGGGTTTTTGCTTCAGTTAGCTGTAATAGTAAATGATTGTGTAACACTAAACCATGTGGTTTCTTGACACTGTCTGCATTGTTGACAAGAACAAAAGAAATTGACAGTAACACTATTAGATTTAACTTATATACACTAACGAGTAAATGGCTTTTACAGTATTAGTACAATTTAACCGGTTATAGCAAGTTATTATTCTATTTTTATAGAGTATAAGTTCTATGCATCGACGATGTAAAAAAATCTATATCATCAGGTCACTTAAAAGGCAATTGCAGGTAATTCTTTCTGCAAACATAAATTGGTAACCTTAGGAAAATAGGAAGCAGTCTATTATGATAGATCAATAATAGATCAAATATACTGATAGTGTAGGAAATTCTTTAGACTATCAGAGTATATAACTTAAATCCTTTTTCATATTGCAATATTAGGCTTAACATGAAGTGTTACATATTGTCATAGGTCAACTTAATACTATTAATCTACATAAATACAAGCTCAATGCAATAATAATATTAATCTCATGAAGGGGTAGTGCAGCAGAATAAAATTAGTACTGTATGCTAACTTACCACATAGACCAAAAGGGGTTGAGGCTAGCAATAGAATTGTTTGTAAGGAAAGAATGTAGCATCTCATATTGTTGTTTCTTGAATTCATTATAACAATGAATAGTGGATATGCTTGTCTTGTTGCCAAATTTCCTTGTTGTATATGTCTTAGCCATTCTAAGAGCCTTGTCAGCTGAATTTGAACTTTTATTTAGAATAAGAAGAGAGTGGGGCCAAAAATAGAGGCCTTAAAGCAAAGTGTGTGGGACTAGCCAACAGATAAAATTCTTGAAGTAGTGGAATGAAATTCTTATTGCAAAGTGATCAATTGTGCAGCCCGGTGCATAAGGTATTCTCTGTTCACGCAGGGTCTGGGAAAGGACTGCACTCCAAGGGGTGTGATGTAGACAACCTACCCTAATGCAAGTATTAATAACTGCTTCTACGGATCGAATCTATAACCTATAGGTCACGCGAAGACAACTTTGCCGTTGCTCCAAGACTCCCTTCCAAACTGAAGCTCAACTATCTTTTTTTTTTGGTTGGAAAATATGGTGTTTTGTGCTTATGGTTTCTTGAGCTGAGGGTCTATTCGAGACAATCTCTCTATCTTCGCAAGGTAGGAGTAAGCCCAGACCCCACGGTGTGTGATAATATTTTTTATGTTGTTGTTGTTGGAAAATATGTTGTTTGACCAGCTTGTGTCCATCTCGACTAATTTGTTGGGTATCTGCTTTCACCAGCACAGATACCGAGTACTTTGTGCATCAAAACTTAGTGGATGGAAAGATATTAGTCCCTTAAACTATTTTGTGAAATTAGGACTTTCGTCCGTTTTTTGGTCTTTACATATGGTTTGCTTTTCTAACCAGAATATGTGTTTTCTTGTGATAAGCAAAAGAGAGAAGGGGCAAAAAATATACTACTTGCTTTGGAATCTTCCTTTTGCTTGGAAAGTACTCAAAAGATCAGACTCGTGCATCACTCTTTCAAAGTTTTATCTCTGGAAACAACTTAAGCTTCTTAGGACAATTTCAAGCCCAGAATGTAAACCACTAATTAAGTTGGCATTTTGCACACTGCAAACTAGTTTTACTTTAGGTTATTTTGCATATGTATCTCAACTGTTTGGTCTTAATCAACAGTGCCGGTCCCCTTTAATGGTGAGATATCCTTTTTTTTTTAACAAGGGAACCTGCAATCGGGTGAAATTTAAAAATAGCCAAATTTAAAAGTGGTAATTGAAAAATAATCACAGCTTCTAAAGTAATCGAAATTTAGTCACTTTTCATGTAAAGATAGATCTGAACGAAAATACTGTTCAAAATCCAAAAAATATTCCAGTATAATATACTGGAGTTCGAATTTTTTATGCGTGAACTTCCAGCATAATATACTGGAGTTCCAACATAATATGCTAGAAGTTCATACACAGGTGCTCCAATCTCCAGTAATTATGCTGGAACTTTCCGCGTGCTGGAGTTCCAACATAATATGTTAGAAGTTAATACATAGCTGCGCCAATCTCCAGTATATTATGCTGGAACTTTTCGTGTTGCAGCAAAATAATGACTATTTTTCAATAACTTTGTAAACACTGACTATTTTTCAATTACCAAAAACTGGCTAGCCCGTGCTATTTTTACCGTGCAATCACTATCTTTTCGGTGGGCACATGGTAAACCCCGCGCTCCTATATAATAACCCGCAATCCACATAGGAGGATAAATCGCACTAGGCAAGCGCGTGCAACGAGCTCGACGAAGAAGGTATGTGATCACGCCCAACTATGCCTTCTAAAAAGGACACATGGACGTTGCAAATATAACCTGAGTATTTAGCCCAGAGTCGAACCCACAAGGAATTAACCTATCAATTACTCTCGTTAGACTTACTAATTTCCACGGAATCAACTTCCCAAATGTTGTGAATAAGATGATGTTTCTACTAACTAAGAATGAATGTAAATAAGCAACTGAAAACTAACTATGATTAAGTTGTAAACAATTAAGAGAAGGATCTAAGGTTATGATTTCCCTATTGATGGAATCCCTTCCGCTTATGTTTCATAGATTCACCAAATAGTCTCTATCAATCATGAGCACTCTTATTACCGTAAATCTCTCCCAAGTAATCATGACAATTTACTAAACGCACTCTCCCGAGTTACGCTAGCTGGCTTTATTTATTATAGCTCACTTTCGATTGCACTCAAGGCTTTGTTATCCCTAATCCCGCCTTTAAACCCTTGATTATTGATCCCTCATATACTTTGGGAGTGGTGTTATTCAACAATTACCTAAATATGCACTCTCTCCCAAGTATCCACACTAAATAGGCACAACTAATAGAGGATCCTATCAATTAACTACAACAAGAACGTAGTTGAGCAAATAGAGATTAAACTGGGCAAACTATATTAACAAAACAAGATTCAATAGGTTCCATCAAAACCCTAGACTAAGAAATTAGCTACTCATAACAAAACAAGATAAAACTACTAAATTATTCATAATGCGCAATTGCAATAATAAAGAGAAGATAGAAGAACTCTAATGTTTGATTGCTCTTCTCACACTTGTTCTTGCCTCCAAAGTAGTCTAAAAACAAGCTTCCCCCTATCTTGGGCGAGCTTCTAAAGTTTATAAGGGTTTGGAACAAGTTTTTTCCGAATTACACTTTGGTCCCCAATTTTTTGGCACGTGAACAGTTCACCACGGTCGCGGCAGGACCGCGGTGAACGCTGAACATTTTGCCTCGCATAATTGATCTGCCGCGGTTTAACCACGATTCCACCGGTCGCGGTGGATTTCCTTCAGTCCATTTTCGCTACTTTATGCTCGGGTACTTCTTGATTGGGTGTTTCCTTCACATTATTGACTACAAAATACTCCGTAGTGCTTCCTCACTTAGATTATTCCCTGCGAAGCAAAAGAACACCAATTAGAGCATTTTGTTATCAATTCGCCTATAAAACAACAATAAAGTATGGTAATATTAAGGTATAAATATCATCTATATAGCCTAATATCAACACCCCATACTTAAATCATTGTCAGTCCTCAGCAATCCACCACACTCTATCAAAGTTCCTTCCCTAAGCTTTTCCCTTAACGAATCACACCTTAAATAATTTACCCAGGTTGCACCTAAAAGTGAACAACCTTTGCCTCAGAAGTCGAATCTCTCGTACCATGCAATATTCGCACTTATTCAAACTACTCTATACAGAAGTCAAGACTTACCTTTCCTTCGTGAATCACATGCCCTCACATCACACAAGAGAGTAGTTCCACAATTAATATGATTGAAAATAATTAGGAACTCAGATGGACAAAATTCACTCACTCTCCAAAACATTCACATGCCACAAAGATGACCATAGGCTTGCCCGTAGTGTAATACTCTACTAATCGAGTCTATCCAGTTTAAGATCAAGTAGGACTTCACTTGGTTGTAATTTAGGCTGAGAGACGGGTAAGATATATTTGGATATAGTGACTAGCCTCCCTAAGCACTTTTAATACAAAACACATTAACATTCCATATCATTCTTATGTCAACCAGACATTCCCCACAATTTATTTATAACATCCCATTTCTTTAGGTGTATTTGCATCAAGCCACCACTTATCAACTAGTATATTTATTTTTATTTTTTTTCGCGGCGCTTCTTCTTTTATTCTTCAAAACTGCACCTTTTCCTCTATTTCATTGGCTCCACTCAAAACCAAACCACCACCCCATACTTTAACTTTTGCATATGTTAAGGTCATTCAAGTGCTCATGAGAGGTAAAAAGGTTCAAACAGAAGGCTATTCAAACAACTGGGTAAGGTTCGCAATGTGGTTGCCAAAGAAACAGGCTTAAGGCTCAATGGGGTTAACTACGATGTATTACATTCAGGTGGGTTTACGTTATATATCTGGCTTAACAAAGAAATGCCTATATCACTTCTAAGACTAAATGAAGCTACTATTTCGCTTTGCAAACACACAGAGCAAGTTCTAGGCATCAAATGTAAAGCATGGAATACAGTATAGCCCACACACACATGGCATATGACTCACTCCGGATTGATTTATCAAGATATTCTCTTTTGAGCGTTCAAGTCAGCTACAGACATACAACTTAAAGGCACTTTTGCAAGGGTCAACCATTAAGACTAGGCGTTACACTCTAGTGTCGATTGTGTTCAGGTGTACTCACGCCAAGGGATTCTCTTTCTATTTCAGCTTGTAGCCCATCAATGCTAACTAAAACTAATAAAATCTAAATAAACAAAAACTACCTACACCCGGTTCAAGCTAAACCCTTGTAAAAGAACCGTGGCCCAAATAAAAACTAAGGGGGAGTTACTACACTACCTATTGGGCGAGCTTCTAAAGTTTATAAGGGTTTGGAACAAGTTTTTCCCGAATTACACTTTGGTCCCCAATTTTATGGCACGTGAACAGTTCACCACGGTCGCGGCAGGACCGCGGTGAATGCTGAACATTCTGCCTCGCATAATTGATCTGTCGCGGTTTAACCACGGTTCCACTGCAATCGCGGTGGATTTTCTTCAGTCCATTTTCGCTACTTTATGCTCGGGTACTTCTTGATTGGGCGTTTCCTTCACATTATTGACTTCAAAACACTCCGTAGTGCTTCCTCACTTAGACTATTTCCTGCGAAGCAAAAGAACACCAATTAGAATTTTTTGTTATCAATTCGTCTATAAAACAACAATAAAGTATGGTAATATTAAGGTGTAAATATCATCTATATAACCTAATATCAGTAGGAAAGTAATTTTGAATCCTAGACCTCCCATTTAGGAAATCTCCTGCTCAACCAACCCAGATCACACTCGTCCAGAATCCAATTACTTCGAGCATTTGGAACCACGTCTCTAATGACTGTCATCTAGTTTCACTTGATTATGTTATTATCCCACCAACATATATAGAGTATTTTAAAATGCATCGAGGATTATAACAAATAGTTTTTACCATCTATAAGGTAATTAAAATTACTATCCTTTTAATAAACCAAAAAAAAAAAGGAAAACGCAAAAAAGAAATCGCTTTATGCAGCCAACGTACACATTGGTAATAGACTAAAGTGTTTGCAAGTAAAGCCACCTCCTTAAACGATGTCTCTGTTTTTCTTTTACCTTCTCTTAGAGTTAATAATAGTTATGAGTTAATTTAACGGATAGTCATCAAACATTTAGTTTATTGTATTGAAATCAAAACTAATTATTATT